AGCCTCTCATTCATATCTGAAGTACATATTACTCCCATCTTCTAAAACTTGCATATTCAAAGCTGTAAATGTATTTTATATTTTCTACATCAGTGACCCACTGAATCTCTCAGACAGCACTCACCATGGTCCTGACCTCCTCCCTGAGCATGTGGAGTCTCTGGTCCAGCCTCTGGGAGTGATGCATGTTGGGGAACTGAGAGGCAGACGCTAGCTGATATAGCTGCAGCAGGAGGCTCCTCTCTGACGTCTCCAACTCTCTGATCCTTATCAAATAGCAAAACAAGATCGCATTACGTCATCTTAACACCGTATAATATCATATAAATGAGCTTTTAAACGTTAAACTGTCTCTGATTAAAAAAAAATTGATTCAGTTTTATCTCCTAACATGGCAGTAGATGCAGTGAGTAGTTTTCAGAGGTGCACTCTCAAGCTTGCATGCAGTGCAGTCAGGTGTGTGTGATACGTGATATTATGTTGGCCAAAAGTGAGCGTACAGTAGCAGATGTGTGTGTCACTGGATCCCCTCTCACCCAGTCTCTCACCTGTTCCTCAGGTAGCTCTCAGGCTGGATGGCTGAAACCGCTCTGTGCTCCAAGTCCTCCACTCGATCACACAGCACACGCAGGTCCACATCAGCTCCTACAGAGTCCTTTACCATGGCAACTGAAGTGCATCCGGTACCTGCTGAGTCTGACGAGGTCATGTGATCCTCCATTGGGTCAGCTTATTCCCACTAAGTTAATTTCACCTGCAGTACAAGAACTGCCGGTGTCAAACTCAATTCTTAAAAAAACTAAAACTCATACACGTTTTCATACATTCATTTTGGCAGCTTGTATGTTTCCAGTTAACAACTCTGTCACATTTGTACAGACTATAACTAAGACAAACACAGACACACACAATAAAGATACATGCACTTAAAATACAGTCATGTATTATTCACACTGTCAACAGCCTGGAAGCAAGTTGTTGGACACACAATAATCTATCAGGTTACGCCTCCTTCTAATCATCCACTCCCATCCTGCACCTCCTACTGTACCACACTGGACAAACATACAAAAGATTTATGTCATACAATCACTTCAGTTCAACAGTTTGTGTCTGCACTGATGATTGCTCCTGGACATAGTGTGCGTTGATTAATATCGTTGATTGAATATTGTTTGAAGATATATACAAAAAAAACATGAACCTAAACATTTCGAGGGACGGTCCACTCCAAAAATTAAACAAGCACCAATTTTTCTCTTTTGTTTGTAGTGTTTTTTATTTATCTATTGTTTTGCTCTGAGTTATCCTGGCTTGGAAATATCAGCTATGGAGATTTGTGGCACCTCTTAAATATGATGGAAACAGAGGTTTTGTGGTAAAAAAGTACATTTGCTAAATATCTCTTTTGCAGAAATCATGATTGCAATACTAAAAAGACATCCACAAACCAGATTCATATTGAAAGACTGTTTCCTTAATACCAAAAAGAAGGTGCAGAAAGATGCATGCAACTACCAGTGACACGGGGTGTCTGCTTATACAGTGGGGCAAAAAAGTATTTAGTCAGCCACCGATTGTGCAAGTTCCCCCA